AACATTTAGGTACTGAAGATCAGTAAGAGCACTGGGATGTCTATGCCATCATATTATTTTAGAAGTGGCTTAGTGTGTACTTTGCAATTGCTTTATAGGTGGTTTTTGAGGTACTTTCATAACTCTCAGATTCTGCACAATGTTTGCTTGTAGTAGAAGGGTTAGAGTTGAATAAATATTTGATACTAAACATCAATATCACAATCATTATCAAAAGCTATAATCATACATAAGTATGATTATGGGACTATAATTATAATGGTATGAGGTAGCAAAAGCTATCACACTTGATTTCTGTATCCTTTTGAAAATACAATAAAATCTGGAAGAACTGATGTAAGTTCAAAGTTACAACAATTTGCTCCCTTTTAATATATTTTAATTCTCTCTTGCAGGTATGTCCTCCTCCACCTGTAGCCAAGGGCATCCAGAGGCTGCATGTTCTTGTGGGCAGCAACCTACTAATCCTGCACAGTGTTTACACAACGGGCTGGGGCACACACTGTATTACTGCTCAGAGCAGTCACGTGGCACCGACTAAACCCCAAGCTGAAGATGAAATTTTTAACTTGTTCCCTCCAAGGCAACTATTTTGTGGCATGCATCTAAAGTGATATACAGCATAATCTGAACGGGATGCTGCTAGTCATTTAAAGAGACTGCCATTAAATGGTGATAAACAAGACATTTTCATTATGTTTGGTCTTTTGAAGCATGATGAGTGCCTTAAGTATTCCAGGACCATGCACAATTGTAGCCATAGACTATTTTACACCAGCGAGCGCCAGGGAGCCCACCACTGTGGATTCACAGGCTCCTTATCTGCAGCTTTGAGGATTTTGTTGGTACCAAGGATTAAATCAACTATTGACTGCTGCCAGTGTGAAAAGTATCTGCGAGTCTTTCATGATTCTAGAGACCCATGTTGGTGTTGTCCTTTTTCTAAAAAAGATTACAGGCTGACATTGAGTTGTATCATTTCCTATTTGAAAGGAAACGTTGTCCATGATCACAGCAAGTAAACATTTCGAACATTTCTTTCTCAGGAAGTGAATGGGAAGAAAATCTGAGTCTAGAAAAACTGTACTGTGTTGCATAGCTTGTAAATCAGGAAGGAAGGGGGGCATGTGGTTATCTTATGGGATACAATTGTTCTGTGGGACCCTTCCTTAGCACTAGCTTTGAAGACACTGATCATCATGTTCTACATATTTTATAGCATCAAAGATGAGCCATTCTTCAAAAAAAGGGTAATGAAAACCTTCCCAGAACTGACAAAATACTACTAGGCTGTATGTTCCAGTCTCCCACAGGATCACAGAATCAAGTCCACCTTGTAAAATTAGAATTATATTCTGTTAGATAGCAATGAAGGTCTGAGCTTTTGCAGCCTTTTAATCTAATAGAAAACTATAAATGACACACCTACGTGATGCAAATGTGCCTTTACAGGACAATAAACCTGTTCAAACTGCGTAACTTCAGCAAGCCCCTAAGAATGATGCTTACAGGCGTTGGATGTTTTGATTTGCTTGTTTAATTTAAATCTGGAAAATGCAATGTACTACACAGAAGAACGCAATTCTGCTGTCCTCCAGAAAACCTAGTATTTTTCCCACCATTACCGACCATAATCTATTGAACATCTTTGTAATTCCTAAGTTTATGTTCCCTTCCCTAGCATTCCATGGCTTTTATATTACACAAGGGAGTAATTCTTTAATTGTCCCCAGTTCCTGTGAAAAAGTGTTGTATGAGAGAACAGGCAAGTGAAGGACTGTTCTACGTTGGGACAAAACATTTCTGAGGACAATTATTTGTTGTTGTTCTATAAGTGAATACAGCCCCTTATTTGGAAAGTACATTCCAGTTTTCCCAATAAATTATAAGCTAATCTATTTGGTAAAAAACAACAACAACACCACCACAACAAAATGGAAGGAAATCCATTTAGCACATGAAAATTATATGCTAGGATTTTCACCATTGGGATGTGAAGGAAAATCAGAAGTATTTTTGGTTGTACTTAAATCATATTTAATGTAAAAGAAAAGCAGAGATGCCTTGGGAAGCACTAATGCATAATACATTTTATCATATGGAGAGCCTGCTAAAGATACCTGAATCAATGCAAAATTGAATTAATTCTGCTACATTTTGTTTGCTCCCAGGGACTCAGAGAGAAATTACTTGTAAACTATTGCAAAGGTCTTTTTTCATCCTGAATCTTTTTAATACCTCTTTAATACACTTCTGTTCTTCTGGAGATAAAACTGATCATAAGATATGACATTGCATGACTTACTAGTCCACTGATACAGTCCCTTTGTGGATATAATAAGGTACAGGACAAACACCTATAACTGCCTATGTCATATATGAATGGAGAAATAAAACCTGTCTGAAAAATTCTGAAGCTATTCCAACATAGCTTTAAAACTGGAATTGAACATATCAAAGTATTCTGCTTTCTCTTTTGATATTCTTCTATCACAGAAGATTGCTCATATATAAAGGATTAAAAAACACACCCTCGTATTAAAAAGACAATTACCTCTACAAAAGTTAAGAGAAAAAAAACCTATCTTGCTTTGCAGTTACATTAAAATATGGAATAAGGCAGGAAGAAATTTTCATTTAATTCCTTCTTCCTTTTCCACTTTTCTATCATCACTTTCCCTTCTTTTATGCCTAAGCTCAGGATAGTCAGCTTAAACATCAGGATGGTGTTGTGGATTTTCTGGAGAACAGCAAGAGGAAGGGAAGGAAACACTTCTGAAAAAATGACACTGTAAACTTTGGCTTTTTGCATCTGAATCTTCTGGCTTTCATTTTCAATTTGCCAAACACGGGACACTGACGAATTTCTCTTCTGGCTTGCCACAAATCTAATGATGACTGTTCATGGAGAGGGTAAATGGAAAAAAAAAATATCTTGCAAGTCTCTAATCAAAACATGGTTTTGAAGAAGTCACACACAACCTGTTAAGGAGTTATTCTGTAATCACCGCATTCCTCTCCCATGCAAAAGGAAAACAACTTGAAGTCAGTGAAAGTCCACTGATTTCTACATGCTCAACAATCCCCAAAAGATGAACATGAAAAAATCAATTTAAACAGAAAGTAAACAATTGTTCCTGTATTTCTGTTCTGTGCTCCCACATGAGAGGGGAGAAATAAGCCTGCTCTGTCATTTCTCCTCTTCCCCATTCATAGTCATTTAAACACAGTTTCTGAGAAAGGAGACAGTGTGGGTGGAGGAGACCGTATAACTCATTATTACCTTTGGCTGTGCCTGGGTTCCCAAGCAGGGGGCTTGGAGGACAGGAGAGAGACAGGATATGTTCCGGGGAGGGGGGGAAGGTAAGAGGAGCCGAGAAAACTCCACCTAGCTTTTGCCTTCCATTTCCAGTTTTTCAGCCTCTCTCCCCCTTATCCCATTCTTATCTCCCTCTCAAATGTTTCTGCTCTGTAGCAACCAGATGGCAAAGCTGACGTTCTTGAGTGAGTAAGTGTACGTGTGAGAAGAGGGGTAGCTATGCCAAACTGTGGTGGGTAGAACGGATTTTGTGGGTGGAGATGGCAGGCTGCTGGAGTGCAGGCAAGCAAGGGACCTTTTGTGTGCGAGCTGAGCACACAGACGAGGCAGGATTCCAAAACCAAACACAACAGAGGTGTGGCTGTGTAAAAATTTAGGAATTGCAGGGTGAGGAAGAGGGGTGAGGGTGCAGTAGAGTTGATTGCCCTGTGTACTATTCCCCTGAAGCCCTTTGGGCAGAAGGCAGTCACTGTACTGGGAAGTTCAGGTTTAAGTATTTTCCCAAAATGGCACCTGTTTGAGTAATCACCAGCTTAAGGGACAAGGGAGAAATTTTTTTTTTTCCCCTTTCTGTTAAATTTGACAAAGTGTTTTTCCTTCTTCCTCACAATATCTGGAAGAACAACGTGTTTAAAATAACAGGACACAATTGTAAAGTTGACAGTTTATAAGTAATAATTTTATCAGCCAGTGTTCAGTTCAGCCAACAGGGGAGTTGGGTGGTAACTCACAAACCCCAATTAACTTGGAAAATAACGGGGATACGCTCTGTAGACCTTTACACCTTCTCACAGTCTCCTTTGTGAAGGCAGGAGCTGAAGGTTAGGAGCTAACTTGAAGTAGCAAAAACGCTAAGTATTGGCCTGCAGCGTATCACATACAGGATCCCAGAAAATCCTTGATTTTGGGAGGGGGAAAAGGGAGCAGTGAAAAGAAGACCTGGTTTCTTCTGTTCTGTGTTAAAATGTATCCCAGTGTCCATGTTTCCCCCTTCCCCGAGTCCTGCTGGAATTGCTATTTACATGTTCTGTTCAGCAGACTGTGAAACATACGTCAGATCCTCAGCTAGGGTAATTGGTTGTAGCTCTGTTCATTCTGGTGAAACCGTGCTGATTTATAGCAGTTGGGAATTTGGCCCTCTCCACTTATTATATAAACGCAACTTCTGACATTAATAACATGCGGCTTAACAGCCACTCATTAATTATGATTTCAAATGTTTAAAAGCTGTATGCTCAATGCTCCACAGTACAAAATATTGAACACTGCTCTAAAAAGCTTATAATCAAAGGCTGTCTGAACCATGCATGTGTGCCTTGGAGGAGCAGAGATGACCTTTGTGCTATGAAGTACAAAAGAAGACAAGAAGTGGTTGTGGAGAGGAAGGAAGTGGGAAAGAACAACATTCAAATGGCCTCACTTAATGCACTTAGCTTTTGTCTCTAGGTTAGAAAGTTGGTTTCTCCAGACTGCCTGAGTGGTGGGGGGAAGGAGAGCCTCCCTGACATTGCTACTCAGCAGCAGACACTGACTTAGTTGTGGTTTCAGCTGTTTTGTTTTAGTACCCCATTGCTGTAAGTTCTTGGAATTGAAGAGCTCCATAGATGACGCTCTCACCCCATTTCCTCTAAATATTTTTCTGTTTGTGACTTAAACAACCATAAAATATCTACTGTGTTACCTGTGTTTGCTGAGGACCTATATCCATGTTTTTCAGGAGGCTGTTTAGGAAGGCTGTGACACTCTCCCATGGATAAATGCTATTGGACCCATCGAGGACTATGACGATGTCCAACTGGGTTTTACACTCTGCAACACAAATGGCCACATAAGAATTGATACTAACATAGATCAAATATATCTCACAGCTCCAGTTACTTTTATGATTAGTAACAAATGCATACCCTTCTGCAAGGGAGCTGAACCGACATGTTTGATGCCAACCGTCATTCACAAATTCTGCATCGTATATTTTGCATGGTATGTGTTCCCTTTATCAGCAAGGCACTTACTTGTAAGCAGAAATTTAAGAATGGGTTTAGAAGATCACATAATTGGAGTATTTACTAGCAACGCTACCTTCTTCAATGTCAATCTGTTCCTCTTCGATTTTTCCAAAGGACCAGGTCTTTAAGATTTTTATCTATATTACTAAATTTGGTTTGTATTAGGTCTTAACATGTCATTATTTAAAAAGAGTCTTTTGGCCATAAGTAAAAAACATAAGCAACTATTTTTAGCAGTTGTGTTTGGATGTCACATAGTGCTCTAACGATTGTTTATACTGACATAAATTCCAAAAGTAGCAAGAATGTAGGTTATATACAGACAAAAAAAACATTTACTTAACTTGGTAATGCTGGTAGCTAAGTTAAGCAGTTCACAGTTTTTTGGTATGCCCACGTGTATACATTTGTCTTGTTTGGCACTTTGTGTTTTCAGATACACAAGAGAATTCCTGTGGTATGCGTACCTTGCACAGATGGAGCGATTGCCTTGACCGTTTCAAAAGTGGAGCTGACATTAGAGCAAACTCCAGTTGTGTAATGCAGACGCCCACATTTATAAGCATAAAGTGGTCCACATGCCTTTAAAAGATGAAAAAGGGTGAAATGTTTTTGTTATGGTACCTGAGAAAAAAAACAGACTTCTTTTAAAATTGGCAAAAAGTCTTTTCTTACCAGAAAGCCTCCTTTTGGGTTAGTCACTAAGGTTGTTCCAAGAGTCATGTTTTCTTTTACTTCCACGACATTAGGAACTGAAGTAACAGCTATAAATAGATTAAAATGTTAAGTATTTGGGAACATGAAAACAAAATGTTAAAGTATATATTCCCTAGTATGGAGCTTCCAGCTTCTAAAATAAAACCCAGACTGACACTGGTTTCATCAAACATTTTAGCACCCTTCCTCCTCCTTCTTCAATTGCAACAATCAAGAACAATTTCTGAGACTGGCTTTTATCCCAGAAAATTTGTCTGGGTTGCTGTCTCAAATAGTTTTCTTGAGCTGCAAAAAAGAAAAGTAGTAAAAATAACAGCACATTGTGAAAGCAAGAGATTATTGTTCACACAGTTTTGTTAATTAGAAAGCAAACATTCATTTTTTACCCTGGCCTGCTATAAATGACCTGACAGCTTTTAGATGTTACTGTTAAGTTACATTCAATTCAAGGGAAAAGAGGAGATAAAAAAATTCCACAACAGGTATATTTAGTGTAATTCATATTAACAGGAAGTCTCTTCCTGTCTACATCATGTATCTCTTGACATAAGCAAGAAAATAATTAATATTTACCTGTATCATATTAAGATGCATCAGCCTGGTTCTGGCTAGTTACGTTCTCATCAAAAGCCTGCTGATGGGATTATGAAGGCTCTTGTTGGCTTCAGAGAGCTTTGGAAAGGGTAATCATGAATCTATGCTCCATGGCCTTTCTGGCTCCATGGCCAGGACTGCCAACCACAGTCAATTAATGGCAGTCATAATAAAGCTTTGATAATATAGCCAAATGCCTGTTCTAAAATTATTAGCATGTTTTCCATAGGACAATGAGGAGTGTTAAATTAATTATTTTTGATGTTACAAACACAACTTCCTTCACATTTAGCTCTGGAGTCCTAAGTAAATTTTCTCTATAGAAACAATTGTAATGCATATTTATTAGCTAAAAATCTCCTAAAATCTGACCTCTATTATTCCTCCACGTGACACAGCTTTATTTTCTTCCATACCTGGTAAGTTCAGTTTTATGCACGGTAATTGGTTGTCCCTTCCTACAGGGCATTTGTATACATCTCCTGTTCTTTTCTCAGGTTGGCCAACTAATGGTGAACCAATAAGTACCCTGCAAATGAAATAAGTTACCTGAAATTTCTTCTTTCTTAAAAGGCACAAAAGTCAGCAAATAAAACTTACAGAGAGAGCACAGCTGCAGCAAGCTCCATACAAAGAGTACAGGATGGAGAGCAAGAAAAGTATCTATTATGCTAGTTCAGATACAAGCAAAAGCAGCCCTTCTGTCTCCTCTTTAATAAGGACACAGAAAGGAAATGTGCCTATATACCAAATTACACAACAGAATAACATTGTAAAAAATTCCGGCGGAAAATAAAAGCAGTATTGGTGGGTGGATGACAAGTATTAAAAGTAATATAGAAAGAAATATCTCTTTTATTTAATATCTCCTTGATTTTAATATATTTTAGAGGAAAACGTATTTTCAATGCTGAGAAACCAAATGACAAAGGAGAGGCTCACAAGCACCCAGAAGAATAATACTGTCTTAAGTAATGTTAGACAGCAGTGTAAAATATATCACTTTTCCTCTCATTAATAAAAAACAATGTTATTAAAAGAAATTTCAAATTTTTAAAACATTAAGGATTTTTATCCTGTGCATTTTTTTTCAAAATTTGGTGTGATCCAAAATCACTACTCTCATATAGTACTTTGTATGCACCACAAATTAGCATCCACTCCTAAATCTAGTTTTTAGCAGGAAATGCTGTTTAGAGATGGACAGGTTTTGTTCTGAAATCTTCATTAGCTACACTAAATAGCCCAGCATTACCCAGCAGATAACAACTGTTTCCATTAAATGTGTAAGGAAGAACTTGGATTAAATTAGAATTCACAGCATACACTGGAAACAGAAATCCTGCCATTAAGAGTAATAGCTCAGTAAGATTTGCCCCTGGACACTTTAGATGATTGTGAAGAGTTATTGAGAGAACCATTTCAACCTTTAACCATAAATTAATGAGTCCAGGCAGAAGATATTTGAATAGAATGTCTAATAGGTAAAATGTAGCCTACAGATTTAAAAAAAAAAAAAAAAAAAATGGAAAGGAGAATTTAAACCCAATACACAATCCAGCTTCTAAAAACATACTGGATCAGCTTATTGTGATCCATTAAGATTTGTTCATGAATAATTAATTAATTAGTTCTAAAGCAAAATAAAATGCTCCAAGTATATACTGGATCTGACTGCTCTTTCAAGCTCTATGCTGTAATGTATGTGTTTTTTACACCAAAACTTGGGAACAGGCACCACAGCCTATTGCACATCCTTGACTTCCATTTAACTGTAGAGAAGCTGAGGGTGCTTGACATCCCACAGGAGGTGATCAACGGTCGGCAGGCTTATGTCCCCGTGCTGTTCTTTGCTCAGAAAGAAAGAGCCCATGAACGGAGAGAAGTGGTCTGAAAGGCTGTTTTGTCATTTCACATGGGGGTTTTTTAGGGGACCCCAGTTTTACTGAGAAACAACTGCAGTCAGGTTTACAGAACATCTGTTGCTGAAAAGCTCTATCTGTGGTACCTAGGTAGTGTTATAGCAGCTGACAAAGCATCACAAGGCTGCTTTGTATATTTATTTTTAACTGTCAATCTACAGACTTCCTGCTCAGGATATTACTATGCTGAAAGCAACTTGAAAGCTTGACAATTTCACAGAAGTTCTGGAGTTTAATTTCAGAGATGTTCAGATCTAGCACACTAGTTAGATTCCTGTCTTCCTTCAGCTACTGGAAGAGCAGCCATTTCCAGCTCATACTATTTTTTGCTCTTGAAAGGTTTCAGGACAGTTTACAACAATATAGCTTACTTCGCAAAATCCCAGCTCCTAGAATGGACACCATTTCCTGAAGGTCTAAATCAGTTCAAAGAATGTCATTATATTCTCCCATGACCCTCATGTAGATGTATATTTAAACATCCTACAACCTGGGCAATCTAGAGCTAGCATTTTCAAAAGCAGGCTCTGCAATTTCATTTCTGTGAACATCCCCTATGGCTGATGGTGAACACTGTGTTGCAGTGGTGGACAGATTCTCGGAACCGGACAGCCCCAGCGCTTGCAGGGGTGGATTGCTTGGGCACTGCAGAACAGTCTGACCTGGCTGTCACACAGCCACATGCCCATCATCCCAGACTGCCCATGGGAGTCCCTGGGTTTACCAGGAAAATCAAATGACTGCTAAAGCTCTGCGAAAACCAGAGCAATCTGCAAAGAGCACTGGAGATCTCAGGATTCCCAAACCTTTTACCATCCAATGTTATTTCAGCCCTCCAGCCCAGTGGTTAGCCTGTGAAGTTTGTTCTTACAAGGGAAAAGCATAAGCATGTGTTTATCGAAAGACCAAGAAGCAATGATACCAGTAAGCATGCCAAAATGCAACTTCTAATCCAGGAGAACAAGAAGGGAAAGACAGGCTAAGAAGAAGGCTCCAGGTCCCAAATGCGAATATATTACCAATTGCAAGACATAATTAGCCCTCCAAAAGGGAAGGCGGAGTACAGTATTAATAAATATTTTGACAGGGAAATCTTCCCACCAGTTAAAAAACTCAGTTCAAAGAACCTCCGACAGAAAACTTTAGAAATAAATGCGTAATACAGATTAGCTAAGTAAAACAGAGCAATTTCACTGCCAATACATTAACACAAAGAAAAGATAAATAATGATTTTATTAGGTAAATGGAAAAAAGAGGGCTCAGGCATAACACAAAACTTTCTCAGCTCCATCAACAAGGGAATTTACCCACATTGTGAACTCACTTATGTCTTTGAGGAAATAAATGTAGAAATAGATTTGGATCTTTCAGTCTCCCAGTCTTTCCAGGTTTCCTCAGGACTGTGCATTTGTTTAAGAAATATGACTGACAGAATCTGACCCTTACATATCAGGCATATTTACAAATAATAGCATAGCACCTGAGTCACTGAATACCTGAAAAGTTGGAGTTTCCATTTAAGAAAAGAAAAACAGCTTACCATTTCCCTTCCTCATTTTCATACTGTTGGACTGTGTACCCAAACATGTCTTCCAGAGGCCCACTGAAGGTCATTGCATTTTTCACATCAACATTGGAAGAGCCGACGAGGTGAAAGAGAGCTTTAAAAAAAAAAAAAGTATTAAGTAGCAATACACATAAAATCCAAGACTTTTAAGAAATCAAGGTTCAATTATGACTTAACTGAGGGTACAAGACAGGGGTTGAAAGTGGCATTTTGGGCATATTTATCACAGCTGGTAGGAGATTTAAAACGTAATTCCTCACACATACATACACAACTAAATGCAGAGATGTTGGCAGCTGGACTTCTGTGTCCAAAACCTGTTTTGCAAAGTCCATCATTCATTTGTAAATCACAGTTCAAATGACATTAAGTAAAATATTACCTTTAATAGTAAATAAAACAACTTTTAGTTATTTTTACTTCTTTTAGCTCCATGCATTTCTAATGTAAGAATTTTACACAAAATGTTCTTTCCATCATTCCAGGTAGTAGTTCTCAAGTTTTCATAAATTTGAGAATTAACTGATTTTCAACTGTTTGCAGAAGGCACACATAGGAAAAGAATGAGGAAAAGCTTTCAGATGTATTTAATTTTTATCTATATTAGAGGAAAAAAATATAGTTTTCTCTTTATTCTCAAGTACCTGTAAACCTTTCACATTTGGAAAAGAACAGAATAAATTTTTAATGCAACCAGATGCTGTTATCTCAAAAAATACCTGTATGTATCTATTTCCAGAAATCCAATATTTACACACTTAAGAAAAGTTGTTCTACAATGGTGGTGTTGGACTATGATGAGAGCAGTCATGAGAGCAGATGCTTCTTAAGACTGATGTCCCATACCCTAAAGATCAGTGATCATCATCAGGGAAAATACTGTAAAAATCTGACTGTAAAGCAAGTTTCAGAAAAATTAGGTATATAGGGTGAAAACTCCAGCTTGAAGTGATAATCGTAACCCACTGTGAGACTCATGAAGCAGCCAAAATTACTATTTATATATAAAAATAAGGCTATTCAGCTTTTATTTTTTATTTCTTATAGTGATCTCTTCCATCTTTGTCCTGAAGTCAGTTTCAAAAGCAACCACTGACTCTGCTGCTGCAGAGCTGTGTATTTAATACACAAGAGCCAAAACCTACTTGAGTTTGTAGAACATCAAGACTACTTAAAACCACAATTATACACAACTTCCATTTCATTTCAAAGAAGCATTTCGTGATCATTTACTGACATTTAACAGCTACATAAAAATACCCAAATCCATAATACTTGCTGCATGTCAAAGCATCTAAATAATGCCCAGTTACTAAAATACATCTGTGTTATTCACCATTGAGACGATGATATTCCCATAGAAAGCTTGTTACTATAAATAAGCTGCCAAGTGGTCAATGCTAATCTGTCTCTCTCAGCATCTTATTTCCTGTTTAATGCAGTAAAATTATCACAAAAGACTATTTATCACTTAGTAGGTATTTCCAGTTTCACTGGACAGCAAAAAAGGAAAAGTTTCATTTGTGTTATTTTAGCTTTTCTTCCTCCAGTCTTCCTCCAGTCAAGAGTCAGGAAATATAAAGTAGTGAACAAATTAAACCAGAGTTTATTTTTGTTCCTCAGAAAAGATTCATTGCAAGCAATAAGAAAAAATTCATGGCTGACAGTCTGATGGGAAATAATTTGCTGGAAAAGTAATCCATGCATCTTTTGTCTTCCTTAAATGCTTATGTTTAAAGAAATTCTGCTATGCCAGTTTATGTGCAATAGGTATTTTCCTCCCCTACTCTTGGACATCAAAGCATAATTAAAATCAACAAAATTGATTTTTAAAAATTCAGTCAAGTTGTCACTGGTTCAAATCTTCTTTTGTTAAATTTCAGAGTAAAAATAATTGCTGTTACTATTTTTGACACCACATATAGGATTCAGACAATGTCATTTAGACTCCCAAGCTACCTCCTAGACAATGAAATGGTTCTAATGAGATCGCCTGCTAAAGTAAGTGTCTAAGTTCATTATTTAGTTGAAAAAGAAAGGCAGATGCAAAATCTATCCATGCTGACTTCCCTCTTAAAGATCTCCAGAAGTCTGTATACTTCAGCCCCTGAATAAGACAGACAGACCATCCTTCTAGAGGTCTTCAGAGGCATGTTTTTTTCGCCTTATGATCATATTTAAAACATATTATGATATGAAATATTAAAGGCCACAGATTCCAGCCTATCTCTTCCAACTTACTTTCTCCTAAAGCTACTGAAGGCTACACACATGCTCTTTGCTCTGTATACTCCATCATGATACCCTCCATCATCATTCCATCATTTGTTGACAGACAAGGAATTTCTTCACAATGATGCAGTATTGACAACTACTGTGATGGTTACTGTGCATTCACTATACTAAATGGTCTTGAAGTTTCCTGAATCTGTTATGTGATATACTCAAATCTCGTAATTTTAAAGAATGCACTTCTAATCTTCACAGCTGTAACAGAAAGTTTGAAAATGTGAAATGCTATACCAAGCAAACTAGAAGACAAAAAACGTTGTCTATTTGCTACTAACCCCACAAATCCTCGTGCTTCTGCATGAGGTCAAATTAGAATGAGCAATAATAATAATAAATGTTCTTCTAAAACATAAAGCTAGAGGAATCAAAAGAAGCTACATGGGCCAGCCTAGTCAGAAATAAAAAGGAGGTGACTCCACAGAGAATGGAATAGACCTGTAGACCTTGTTGACAAAGGATGTTTTGGATGCTAAATGTTATGTATTCAATGGGTAACTGAATAATTAACGGAAGACAAAACCACTGCAGGCTACAAACCATGCAGAATGCACATCTGGTTCCGGAAATCCCCTCAGCTGGAAATATTCAGAAACTGGAGGAGGAATATTATATATGCTTACTCAGTTATTTTTTTGTCTCTAGCTATTGGCTTACATGTACTCCTGCAGACACGATACTGGACAAAACATGGTCTTGATTTGATCCCGTATGGCTATCCTTTTGCTCTCTCATCCTCCCATTCTATCTTAGCCAGAAATCATATGCTTTGAAGTTTTACTTCATACACAAACTGTGTGGCATATTTTAATATGCAAATGTATTACATGACCTTCTGTGGCTTCCATGTGCTATGAAACATCATGAGCATAATGGTTTTGAATAAAAGTGTCATGATAAGCACTGTAAGATTAACTTACAAATAATTAATAGCACTAAAGGTATCTTATTACATTTTCCACAGATTCTGTAAAAGGAAATCTTACTAGTCAAAGATACATTCAAATCTGCAGATGGTAAATGGAAAAGTGGAGTTTACGGTGACCCACATTACACTGTTAACTAACAATAATCTACTGATTTATGGCAACCTGGCTTTCACATTTTGTTTCATTTTTCAGTACAAAGAACATTATACACATGAGCTGATCACACAGAACATTTAAAAATATCACTGATTGTGACTGTGAAAAATATACTCTATATTAATAACAATATCTAGATTGCACTCTTCCAAACTTCCAGTTTCTAAGATGCACACATTCTCATCTGTTTCTAGCAAACTTGTGTATATGAATTAAAAAGACTATTGGCAGAAGCAGTGGAAAAAGAAGAGCTCCAGGGGAGCTGGAGAGGATTCTTTTGAGAGTTATGGGGATTAAGGAGAAAAAAAAAATTTTTGTAAGTTACATAGTATTTGACTATATACTTAATCAAAATTAATGTAGGTAAATTAATGAAGATTTTGAATGATTTCATGTTGTGCTAACAGAATTACTAAACATTCATATCAAAGCAGTGATCAGAAATGCAGAATATAAATGTTTATCAAAAGATAAAACTGAAGTTCCAGCTTTTAGCTTCACTTTCTACATGAAACAAGGCACTGCAGAAAACCTGGGACAATGTCCCTCTCGCTATCTATTTAAACTGAGAATACTAGGTGATGCATGCAGCATTCCTTGCTGAGCACAGTTTGCACCTATACATGAAAGGTTAACAATCGGTCACCAAGACAACAACCCAAATATTATTTCTATTGCAAACCTAGAGTAGTAGCTCATACTTGTCCAGTAGCCACTAATAAATTTTTTCTGTTTTAGTTAATGAGATCTTTTAACCAAACGTTCGTGCTGTCTGCCTGGTTATTCTGCCTGTAAACTGTGCAAAACCAGATTTCCCTGGCACTTGCCCATGTGCGTATTGCCTGGCCACTCTAACCTTTGCAGAGAACTGCAAAAGAGGCACCCTTATTTTCCTAGAACAGATGGATATAAACACAACCCAGACTGCAGAACAAAGCCTAACACCTAGCTCTTTACTGATGAAAAATAGATGACCGCAAAGCACCCACAATATGCTACATCACAAAGACTGACTGAGCCAAGAGAAGAGAGTAAATTCAGTTAGGATATTTTATCTGTGTATGGTCTATAGCAAATACAAATTGCATCCTCTAGAAACAGTGGTTATTCTGAGAAATACAAACGTTTTTTGCAAAAATGGGAAAGGACAAAGTTGCACTTTGCATTGAACAGGGCTTACATGTTGGCCACACATTACTTCTTCCCACCAGCATGTGGGGGTCAAAGTGTTATTTTTGTTCCATTTTATACTTACTGCTTTAGCATTTCAGGTGTCCTTATTAATTCCTCTGCATTTTGCATGAAAAGACTGAAATAAAGTAGGTCTAAGTGCAATCAAGGAGGACAAGAAATCAAGTAGAAATGTCTTGCAAAAGTATGCACAACTGGAAAATATTGGGAAACTCAAAAAAAGTTATTAGCAGGGGGAAAAAAAAAAAAGATCAGACTGCTTCCATCCTGGAAAATAAAAGAGGGTAGAGAAATTTAACCTGAAGATTAAATAAGATTAAAATGTTTTATGGAGTACTCATAGACCTGGACCTCTTGCAAAAACAATAATAATAATAATAATAAATTTTGCTTTAATGTCTTCTACAGCACCTGTGACAAACTATGATTCTGTAAGGGTATTTTAAAGACCTGCAAACAACACAGGAGTGCAATACAGCAACACAGAACAGTGCATCTTATCAAAATGTACTGACGGCTAAGTGATAGT